GCTTCTGAGAGACAGAGATGAGAAAGGAGGGCGTTGCAGGCGTGCTGAGGCTTTAGTAACAGGGCAGTTTGACTGAAAGAGTGTTCAGAGTTGGGGGGGAGGTAGGGTGTTAATATGAACTCAGTCGGGCAAGATGCAGATTGTGAAGGGCCGCAGATAATAAGTGAAAAAGAGACTTTATTCCAAAGGCTGTATGGTTGCTACTTACTATCATTACTTAATGGTGAAACGTAACACTAGCTCAGCCCTGTGGGCAGTTGTTAATAACAAATCCGATCACTGGTTTCACTGGTGCAGACAGTACTTAGGTGAATGCAGATTCAAACTCTCCATGTTCAAGTTGACAGTTTCAGGGGTTTCTCTGACTGGAGGAAAAAAAAAATCTTCCCTGGTAAGTAGGCAAGCAGCCAGCTCCTCTGGTGATGAGCCTGTCTGCCCAAAGATAGACTGATCCTAAAATGGCAGCCCATCGCCAAATCCATGTCTTGACTGTTTGGGGAAACCTAACAGACTTTCCACCTTCCTTGCTTAGCTTTTGAAAAGGATCTCTTCCATTTCATGATACTGTTTTTGAATAGAGCCTCAGCACCAGCTTTTAGAGGCAAGTCAGTATTTAATCTTGTTATGGTGTTTCATTTGAGTACATTCAACTAATGTTTAAACCAGGATAAACATTTGGCATAACTTTTTCTGGTATCAATTAGAATATTAGATATCAAAATATTAATATTAAGATATGTTAAGAAGATACTCCCCCCACACACACTCTTTTGCAGAGGTGGGGAAGGGAGTGTTCCTTAGGTGTGGAACATTGCATATATTGTCAGATTTTTTTCAATGTATTGATAGGTTTTGCCGATTGAATTTTTTATTTTTTTAAGTTGGGGGGGAAGTAAGTGTAAGGGGAAATCTAGGCAATGGAAAAATAAGTTAGTAATAAATTTATTTCAAAATAAAAAATGTATATGTATGTACTGTAGTTCTTCAGAATATTCGTGGCTTATTTTCACCAAACCCATCTTTTGTCCCTTAAAATATTGCTAGCTCCCGAGCTAAGGGTATCCCTAGACTTGGGAGGAATTACTGTAGTCCAGATGGGCAACTGACAGCAACTGTAACTTAAAAGTGATTAATGGAAAGGTAGGGTTAATTATCAGAAGTTAACTTTCCTGAAATTGGGTGTCCATGCTTGGTTATGTCAACGGCTTTCTATGTAAATATTGATGGAGTCACTTCCTGTCCATTTCCTGGTGGGGATAAAATATTCCTGCAACTTTTCAGGAGAGCTACTGTGAGAGAGGATGATTGTTACTGTTCAGTCATTTCAGTCATGCCCGACTCTTTGTGACCCCATTTCGGGTTTTCTTGGCAAAGATACTGAAATGTTTTGCCATTTCCTTCTCCAGCTCATTTTACAGATGGAGAAACTGAGGTAAACAGGATTAAGTGACTTACCTAGGATCACATAGCTAGTCAGTGTCTGAGGCTGGATTTGAACTCAGGAAGATGAGTCTTCCTGACTCCAGGCCTTGTGCCAGCTGCAGAGAGGTTAAGCCAGGCTTTTAATTGTCGAAGAACTGATGTGCTTGTCTGCAGATTATCCTGGCTTCTTGATCCTGCTTCCCATCTAATGCCTGCCCCATTAGCCACTTTACTACAGGGTAGGCAAGAGAATTTCCACATCTGCAACTTATTCAGACTAGGAGAAGTTGTAGTAAAAGGCGCTTGAGAGGAAGGAGTAGCTTAATGCTTAAGGGCTGGGGATTACCTCGGATTTTGTTCATTGATGCCATCTATCATAGCCTTTAGCACGGGAAATGGAAATCCTTTATGTTAAAAAAAAAAAAGAAAAGAAAAAAAATACATCCCGCCTCCTCTCCCTCCCTAAGAAAAAACAAGACAAGGCAAGCCCGTGACCTGGACTCAGGTGGAACAATAGGAAATCCAGAGCTTCTTGGGATTTTCTCATTGCTCATCGCCTTTCTTGACAACACAGGAAAAGGCAAACAGTAAAATCCTGCTGTAGGGAGGAGGCTGCTTATGCAGACTCTGCCAGCTTTCACCTTTTAGTGCTCATGATTAGGTCATCCTAGCAGAATCAGGCCTGCCATCACCAGACTTTTTAAGCAAATTGCAAATAGTTGGCATCAGCCATAAGTTCTATGTTATTACAGGGAACACCACGAAAGTAAAAAAGGAAAATTTGAGTGAAGCCATTTTCTTTCTTTTTTGAATGATATTTAATTTTTTCCCCAATTAGATTTAAAAACAATTTTTAACATTCATTTTTTAAAATTTGAGTTCCGGTGAAGTAATTTTCCATAGAAATTGAGGTGACTTTCCCAGCAAGTTCCATAAGCAGTCAGTTCTTTATCAATTCTTCCCCTTTTGTTAGAGAGTAAATCTTGAACTGATCCTTAGGTAAGTCTTGATGCCGTAAGTCAGGTTCGTACCATCCCTACGCCTACCTGGAAGCCTTCGTCCTTTTAAGGTAGCTGTTCCACTGCCATGGAGAGGTAGGGTGGGGCAAGAAGAACTTTGAAGGTGGGTTTCAGGCTAGAGAAGAAGAAATCAGCCAAAAGATGCTGTTGCTTGACAAGTTTGGTACATGTCTGCTTTGGCCCATGCTGTGTTTCAGTTTTGAAATTTAGCTTGCAATGTGGCAGGTCCTAGATGTTTCTTGGTTGAACAGAATGTCTGGAAAGTAACATGACAGCTCTCAGCCTGGAGAGGATCGTGAGTGAGACGTTTGCATGAACACCAGGTGTATTTTTGCCAAGTGATTTGCGTTGTTCCCCTAGAAACTCTCAATGAAGGACTTTGGGTGAGATTAGAATAGCCTTCTGAGAGCCACCATATTACCCTTATTGCTCACTAGAGCTATCTCCCCCGTTGTTATCTATTCTGTGTTTCCAGAGCAAAGAATAACTGAGGGGATTGGGGTGGTGGGAAGTCTACTGCCAAAATTTGAGCTGTCTTGCCTGGGATTATATGAGAAACAAATGCGGGGGTAGAATATTCCAGGCCTGGAGGGCCTGTAGTTTGGGCCAAAGGTAAATGTAATTCCTGTTAGTTGGCCCAGGATTAAGCACTACCTAAATCTCTGGGCTATCATTTTTGATTCTTATCACTCTCTGTGGCACAGCAATTTTCATCCTGTTTGCCGAGCATCCAATTCTAGGGAACCAAGATTTCTTTCTTTTTTTTTCTTTTTTTTTGGCAAGGCAGTTGGGGTTAAGTGGCTTGCCCCAAGGTCACACAGCTAGTAAGTTTTAAAGTGTCTGAGGCCCATCTGAACTCAGGCCCTCCTGACTTCAGAGCCAGTGGTCTATCCACTGCGCCACCCCAGAACCAAGATTTCTTGACAATGCCTTATCTTCATTTAACCCTCCAAAAAAGATGAATTGCCACAGATAAATAGGAAGGAGAATGAAAGGTATCAATGCAGGATGAAGACCAAGATTTTACTTTGATATTAATGCCATATCTTTATGGTCGGTCATTGCTTGCCCTCCCTCATCCTTTCCTTTTTCCGGTATAACGCACTAGGACCATGGACACGTCATTTACACTCCTTGGGCCTCTTTTTCTCAGCTCTGATATGAGGGGGTTGAGCTAGATCAGAAGTGAGGACATTTTTTTTTCACCTAGAAGTCCAAAAATTGCTTCATGAAGTTCTCTACGGGGCTGCATGTACCTAATTTGATGGATAGTGTCAAGTTTGCTGAGCAAGTGATATGGCTGAGTAGGTGGGCAGGACCAAAGCAGCTTTTGGCCTGAGGAAATGTCAGGATGAAATGGTTGTGTGATCACAATTTCTCTAGGGTGAGTGTTGCTCCCACCCAATGAGCAATGTGCAAAAGAGATTTCTTACCTCCATGCATTTGTGTGTACACAGCTACAAAGAAAAAAAAACCCAAAAAAACAAAGTTCTTTACCCAAAGTTGGGGGAATATTTTGGGGGGAAAAGGTGCTTTATTGTTGACTTCATACCTCCTCCTGTCCAACTATGAACTCCATGTTTGGCTCTAGCGTCTCCCTCAGGCTCCTGAGGGGGCTGATGTCCTCTGTGATCACAGGCACATTTTGATGGCAGTTGTGTGACAGGGTTGATTCTGAACAAGGCTCTTCTGTTATGTGAGGCTTGGTTTAAGCAAAGGAGCAGGTCTGCTGGGGGTTGTGTAGATGCATTCTAGTACTGGTGGGGGCGAGTGTAAGAGTAAACAAAAACAGCGATCATGTTGAATCTCAGAAGATACAACACTGTTTTAATCCATCTATAAGCTATATTCATCATGTTATCAAAATGGAACCCCACTTGATGCTTGTTTAGATTTTGGCATTGGCTTGACCAGGTTTTATTTTGTCGTCTCATTGTATCATAGGCCTAGAGCATGAAGGGACCTCAGAATCCTTCTAGACCAGCTCCTTCAATTTATAGATGAAGAAACTGAGGTCAGTGTAGGTTGATTCACTTGTCCACGGCCACACAGTAAATGTCAGAAGCAGGATTGGAAGCCAGATTCTTGGACTCTAGATTTGTTCCCATTTTATCAGGCTATCTTCCCCCAGGCCAGCCACTTGTCAGAGTCCCTTCTTTTGTACTCACGGTATGTGGCTGAGCAACCAGTGTTCAGAGAACTGTCATCAATGAAAACTACGTTGCTTCTATATGTGAAAACCCACACATACAGAAACTATATCATGGTATTTAATTTTGTACTGTAAATAGATCATGGAAATATAGAATAATTCTAAAACTCCATAATAATACTTAATTTTGTAGTGTGAATAGCAGGTGATGATGGAAATTTGTACTTTTAGTTACTCTACCATGCCAATTGCACTCCCCCTTCCCCTAAATTCTTTGCCAATCTCTCCATCAGCTCTTAGTTTCCAAGGATGGTCAAGCTTTGCGGTAAGTGTCCTCAGAGCTTTTAGAAGCTTTGCTACTCACCTTTAATTCATTAATACTTATTGTGCAATCTTCTTTGTTTCAGGTAGGAATGAGTTAATAGCAAGATACATCAAACTCAGAACGGGGAAGACGCGGACCAGGAAACAGGTAAAATATTACCACTGGAAATTGTGCATGTCAGCGAATGATGACCCCAAGAGGCATTTTGGCTGCAGTGGCTGTCTGTGCTTAGGCTCCTAGGAGCTCCCAAGTTGAGCCCCCTATCATAGATCTCAGTATGTTAGTTTTAAATGGCCTCGGATTTTGCAGTTCATCATTTCAGTGACCCTTTGGCACATGCAGCTATTGCACCCTGTATGTATGGGGGGAAATGTGCTGCAGGAGATAGGGGAAGAACTCCTAGAATCTGTTTGATTTCTTTCATTTCTTCCCGAAATGTACACCAGCAGTCACTTTGAAAAAAGTAGAGGTGCACATGTACTTGCAAACCAGATAAATTTCAAGGTGATATACGTGTAAAAATCCTCAAGCAATTCTATATCAATCATCATTTCAATACTTGCCTGCCTTGGGCATTGACATAAACATAGACTTGAATGATGATTTAGGTAACCAGGGAGCTGAAACTTATTCAGCTTTTTGTCCCTGGTAACAGTGATTGAAATGAAGTTATCCCTTAAATGACCTGGTCCAAAGTAGTGTCAGGAGGTCCCCCCCACCCCCATGCCTTTTACGGGCTTGTTTAACTCTTTGCTTCCCTTTTTCTTTCATCTGTGGAATAGCCCCTAAGTCTTTGGCTAGACTTAAGATTTTATTTTACTTTTTGAACCTGAGATGAGTTCTGTAACATTTGTCAGATTACTTAACATTTAGCTCTTTGAGTAAGTTGATAAATGAACAGTCCTGGAAGGGAAAACAGCTCTTTGCACTGTGCTGGTTAACCTGGCATCAGTCTTTAAAAAAGGAAAAAAAAAAATCCGTTGAGATTGTGGCCCCTTTAAACTTAAGCAGCAGACTCCAGTTCTCTGTTTTACTGATGAGTTGCTTTCATTAGTGTTTATGATGGTGAAGAGGCTTTTACCCAAGCATGCTCCATGTGTGAAAAGTGATGCTGAGTCAGCACAAAAGGTGGCCTCCTGCCAGCGCACATAGGCAAGCCATTGTCTGTGTGGGTGATGTTTTTTCCCTGGCAGTGTCTCCCCCCTACCAATTAAGAGAATCCTAAGAAAAAGAATGGAGAAGACCGGGGGAAAGGGCATGGGGGAGTTGAGTTGGGGGAGAGTAGGATGCTCCTTACTCTTCTTATGTATAGGAAAGGAACAGAGAACTCACATCTGAAACACACTTGAAATGGAAGGTAAAGCTGGGGTGTTTACTCACTGGGTTTGAGATCCTTAGCTTTCAATGGGTGGTGTGTGTGTATGGCATCTAGCCCCACTTCCTCCATTATAATGAAAAGATTGAATCGGGAGGCCACCAGCAGACTTCTGAAAATCCCTTTTGTTTTACATATCGAAAAACTCTGGTCATTCTCCTTCCCCCTTCACTGGGGATTCTTAAAATTTACAGAGGGCTACGCCGTGAGCCCCAAATATATTTGTAAGGCAGTTACTTTGTCCCAGAAACCTGGCATCTTTTCGACACTCAGGTGGTCTGGGGATTTTTTTTTTAAGGTACCAGTGGGCCTGATAACTCTCCAACAATCGTTTTGTTAGGCAAATTCATGTGGTCTTTATCATCACCCATTTTTAACTGGATGGTCTGGCCTGGATTCACACATTTAGCTTTGTAATAATATGCAAATCCACTTGGCACAGAATCAATACCTAAAGAGTAGAAGGATTAAAGATATTTATAAGGGCCCAAAATGCCTGGCTAGCTGAGTATTGCCATTCCTCCTCAAGATCTCATTTACATGTCCGTATTATTTTAACATTTGCTACAGAATTCAAAGCTTTTCATTCATAGGATCAAACTCCCCCCACCCCACCCCAGTCTCAGGCAGGATAAATCTCTCCTGAGCAGCAAGAGATTTTCCTCCCCAGATGTCGGGGAGAACCACATGGCCTTATCATTTATTATTATTATTATTATTATTATTATTATTGTCATTATCATTATTTTCTTTAAACCTCCTCTTTTAAAACAAAACCAAGTGAGTTTCTCAGCAAGTCCTTGATTTTCTTGCTTGGGGGACAAACTGATCAGATCCAACTTTTATCCTGAAACATGTCACTGCAGTGATGAGCCAATGATGTTTAGCGCCTGAGAGGGGTGCTGGGAGCTTGGTGTCTGCCTGGGAATGTGTCTCCCTAACAACAAAGCTTTGTCAAGACGCAAATAACCTCCCCCACCTGCCCCTTCCTGTCCCCCACCCCTGAACCCCCCCACCCACCCCCACCCCATCCCCCCCAGGAGCAGCAACCTTATCTTTGATTTCCTTTTTTTGTTTGTTTGTTTTTTGTTTTTTTGTTTTTTTTTCCCCCTCCATAAACCTGAACAATGTAGGTGTCTAGTCATATACAGGTCTTAGCAAGAAAGAAAGTTCGGGAAATTCAAGCCGCCATTAAGGTACGTTTGGCTGGCCCAGTTGCAGGGGGCTTTTCATCTCCATGGTTACAGGCTTTTCCTTTGTTTCCTCCCTTCCCCTACCCTGCAGGTGTCTAGTCACATTCAGGTTCTTGCCAGAAGGAAATCTCGTGATTTTCATTCCAAGCTGAAGGTATGCGCTGCTGCTGCTGCTGCTGCCGCTTCTTGCTTTGGGGCCTTGTGGTTGCTATGCCTTTCCCTTCCTGTTTGCCATGGTGACTGCTGAATGCCTGGGGCTGCCAGTCGGGTAACCTAGTTTTCCCGCATGTGAGAGCTGTTTACATTTCTTTGTGTGTGTCCTCTCTTCTCCCCCCATCTCTCTCCCTACTACTAGCCTCCACACTCCACTAGGCTCTCTGGGCCTCTCCTCCCCCTTGGGCCATTGGGGTGGTGGGATTTTTTTCTTCTCTAACCATTGGCACATGCAACAGTAAAGCTCAGTCTTGATAACTCCTTAGCACACAAACATGATTTTTTTTTTTTAACCCTTTTATGTGCGCCAGCCAGTTCAGGCCTGGCGAGGGTCCTTAAGTGCCCCCAAATAGACAAAGAGATTGGGCACACAGAGATGCTTTCAGTTTTGGGGGTAGGGGGTGGCGGGGAGGAGGTAGGAAGGGGCATTTCAAAATTTACTCTTTTCATTGTTCCTCCATGAGTTTCATTGGTGCTTTGGAAAGTGCTTTTCAAGAGTACTTGGGGAAATGGCTATTAATGAGCTACTCTGAGCCCAACTGAGCAAGGCTAAATTTCTTAGGCTGAATTTTCCTCTACTCCACTTAATACTATTGTAAGTGGGAATGCATGGCTCTTAAAGCAAGTGTTTTACTCTCCCCCTCCTCCAAATCAAAATGTTAGAGACGGTTTTTTTATATTATATTTGTTTTTCATTTTGAGAAGGCCTTTATTGAAATCCTCTTGGCAGTTTGACCCAGCATTTTAATTTGCTTCCTTTTTTGAGTAAATTTTTTTCAGTTAACAAAAATCTGTTTTCTCTCCCTTCTTCCCGCCTTCCCTAGGGGGAAAAAAAATACAAACTGAGAACAAAACTCTTGTAACAGTGGCCATGTCCAAAAATATGTCTCATTCTGCACCCTGAGACTAACACCTAAATTACGTGTACTTCTAAGCCTATTAGCAAAATATACAGTACCCTGTTTTCAAAGTTCTGTTAAAAGGTGCTCTTTAAAATCAAGCTTTTGGACATTTTTTAAAAAATAAGACCTTTAAAAAGGTTCGTTGGGGAATGCAGCCTTTCCCCCCAGATTACCTACCTGCTGTTCTGTTTTGCAAATTAAAAGAGATTTTGTTTTAGTATGTAGGGAGAAGTTCACTTTCAAATCCAAATATCTCAGTTGGCCAACATTTCACCTATTTTCCTGAGACTCTTTGTGGAGTTTTTTGACTTTCCCAGGAATTAAATAAATCATGTTTTTGTTCTAGCTAAAAAGCAAGGGGAAAAAAAAGTAATTTCACAGTACTAAGTGGTGAAACCCTGTCAATGCTTACCAGAATCCTGGAACTTCATTATGTAAATAACAGGCTGGCTTTGTCATAGGCCTACTTGTTCTGAGCATTTGGTTTTCCATATGCAATGGGCAGCGTTTTGGCAAGCATGTATGGCTGATGGTGGCTGGCTTTTTAGCTGTGCTGGCTGAACAGTTGTGTTGTTGAAGAACTAAGACAACTTTATAGGTACTGCTTTTTAACAAGGGGGTGCTCTCCTACATACCGATGTGGCCATCCTAAGTGGCGACTGGCCTCCCAGTCCCTGAGCCACCTCATTAAAGATGTTCACATATTTAAGACATGCTTCATTCCTCTTCCCCACGTGAAATGTTATGAATGCTTCTCCTGCACTTTCTTCCTATTCGATGCTCACTCTCTGTAGAGCAAAGCTAAAGTCTAAGCAGACCTCTCCTGTTTGGGAGCTATATTTCTGCCTTGTTCTTCTTTTTAAGCAACCTTTCTAGATAGGGAAGGGGAAGGGGAGGTGGGGAGCATGGAGTCCATTGCCATTGGGGATTTTGTTCGATAGATGTCCTTTGTGAATTCTTTCAAAAATAAAATAAATAAAACTACCCCATTCACCTTCACTACCGTTGCCCCCATCCTTCTTGCTTCTCTCCAGGTAGAAAATTCACAGGTTTCCAAAACTTTGATTTGAGCGGGGAGGAGGGATGGGATGGGGAGAGTTGGCACTTGACTTGGGAAGACTGAGCAGAGTTTAGCTAACCTTGGGTATGGGATGGATTTGTTTTTAATCCAACAGTGTTAATTGAGGTTTTGTATTTGTTGCTCGGAGACTCAATAAAACTCAGACCCTGCTAAGTGGTGAACCTGCTTTCAAAGCTCTTCCCAGTTAAAAAGGCATTTAAGACACTTATGAGTGGTAGAAAGTGGTGTAACAGCTCAGGGAAAGCTTAAGGTCGTTTTTGGCTAGGATGTTCATAGTGGGTGTCAGAGTGGGTGATGAGAGGACTTTCTAGGGAGACGTTTCTTGCAGGCTGAGAATTCTAATTACCAGTGGAATAACCTAAGTAAGTAATGCCCATTGCCTCATTGGCAATAGGTTGTCGACTTCAATGTTTATGAGTCAAAATGCATTTTAAATCTAAAACATTAATTCATCCACTAAATGAAGATAGTACCATGTTGATTACTACTACTACTGCTACTGTCACCACCACCACCAATAACAACACATTTATATAGTACTTTTGAGAAAGTGGTTCTCAAACTTTTTGGTCTCCGGACCCCTTTATATTTCTAAAATTATTGAGGACTCCAAAGAGCTTTTGTTTATGTGGGTTATATCTATCGATATTTACAGTATTAGAAATGAAACTGATAAAATCTTAAAATAGTTGTTTATTCATTTAAAATAACTAAAGTAAACTCATTACTTGTTATGATAAATAATATATTTTTACAAAAATAACTGTTTTCTAAAATAATTTGTTGAGAGGAATGGCATTATTTTAGATATTTCTGCAAGTTTCTTTAATGTCTGTCTTAATAAAAGACAGCTGCATTCTCATTTGCTTCTGCATTCAATATGTTGCAATTTTTTTTGGTTGATGTATATGAAGAAAATCTGGCCTTAGATATTATTTATAAAAAGGACAGAATATTTTAATAGCCAAATGTCATTGTAGCATTATTATGAAAATAGTTTTTCCTTCACAAGACCCCTTGAAAAAGTCTTGGGTCTCCCAGGGGTCTAGATCTAGACTTTCAGAAATGCTCCTTTAAGGTATACAACCTTATTCGATAGATGAGTGGTCCAATTAGAGTTACCTTCATTTTACATCAGAGCAGCTAGTATTTGAGAAGTGACTGAACTGAAGGCAAGTATAAATGTAAATAGCTTATCCATCTATGTTTCACAACTTTCAGGTTTTAGAAGCAGAGAAGTTATAGCAGCTGACTTCCTGTTGGATATTGCTAAAGGCAGGACCCTGTTATGGTGGTTATGATGATATTCAATATAAATATGTTATAAACCCCACAGGATCAAAACATACTTGCCTTAATTCCATTAGATCAAATAGGGTCAGATGTGTTGTCTTTGATGTTCCCTAACCCATTATCATTAGAGTTGCCCTCAGATTGGTTCTTCCAGTGGTAGAAATGAACATGATGATCTAATCTAGGGGTGGGGAAACCTGTGGCCTTGAGGACCTAGAGGGCCACGTGTGACGTCGAGGCTGCAGGTTCCCCACCCGACCTAGTCACATTTTCCCACTCAGTTTCTTTAGTGTCTAATGACAAGAATTTGGAGCTGGTTGCAACACTCTCCCTTGTCACTGGGGAATTGAGCCGTCATGGATAGGATTGAACCTGTGACTTTGGTTCCCTCAGTCTTGTAGCTAAATCAGTACACAGCAGACTTTTATAAGCCCCACAAAAAGATCCCCCAGATGGAAGTAATTTCTAAGTAATAAATGAAGTTAAAAGGAAGACTCAGGGAGAATTGTAGAGATAAAGGAATCCAGACTCCACAGTAGAAAAAGGGCTGCATCTTATCAGAGAAGTTGAGTAATGAGGGAGGGCTTCATAGCTACATTGTTAGGATTTAACAAAGCTGTGTGCAGTTTACGAGATCTTGAAATTTCTTATGAAAGTTCTTTGCTCTTTAACATACTTAGAAGTCATAGAGATTCTTTGTTTATGGACAAGTGAAAGGGCCATAGTTCTCCAATATCCACTCATTCCCTTTCATTTCCCTTTGTTTCTGCTGTTTTGAAAGAGTGACTTGTCCATACCTGGGAGTCCATACCAACTGTACTTTGTTCTGCACCAACATGCCTTTTACTCTCCAAAGAGTCAGAAGGGTGTGGTAGAAATCTCTATCCAAAAAAAAAAAAGTAGAAAGTTAACTTACGGTTTGCAGATTCAATCAAACAATTAACTGGACTTTCCACAGCTACTAGGATAGTGGAGTCGTTTGGGTGATTTAGAAAGCAACAGTTTTAAAACCAGAGAATAGTGATTAGCAAGAAAAGGTTCAATTGGAAAAGTCACAAGAACACAGATCAAGAACTGGAAGAAATATCAGAGCACATTTAGTCCAACTTCCTGTTACGGAGAAGGAAGCCCACTCATTGCACAAGTAGTATCAGAAGAGGGATTTTTTGAACCCAGGCCCTTTGACTGTAGAGCAGTATGATTTTTCTCCTACTGGGTCTTCAGTGAAGGTTCTGTAGGGAACTATCTTAAGCTCTCGTCTGCTTAACAGTTTTCACATTTGCATATGACCTGAAGATTTGGGGGGGAGGGGGTGAGATGGAAAAGGGGGGAGAAAGAGAGAGAGAGGAGAGAGAGCGAGCTTTAATGGATGAAAAAAATAGAGATCTTCAAAGATCCCTATAATAGGCTGGCTGGAACAATAAGTGAATCTAATGAGATGAAATTTAATAGGGACAGATATATAAAGTCCTAAACTTGAGTTCAAAAAAAAAATCAAATTCACAAGTACAGATTGGGGGAGGTGTGATTCATGTGGTGACTACGCAGGGGTTTTTAGTGGACTGCAAGCTCAGTATGAGTCAAAAGTGATTGATGTGTCGGCCAAAAGAGTTAATCGTTTTCAAGTGCATTAATAGAAGTTTAACACGTGCAGAATAGGGGAAG